CCAAACGCCCATCGACGATAGACTGGATAGGGAAAATGTGGCACATATACACCATGGAATATTATGCAGCCATCAAAAACGATGAGTTTGGGTCCTTTGTAGGGACATGGATGAACCTAGAAACCATCATTCTCAGCAAACTGACAGAAGAGCAGAAGATCAAACACCGCATGTTCTCACTCATAGGCGGGTGTGGAACAATGAGAAGACATGGACACAGGGAAGGGAGCACTACACACTGGGGTCAGTTGGGGGGAAATAGGGGAGGGACGGTGGGGGGTGCGGTGTTGGGGAGAGATAGCAAGTGGAGAAATGCCAGATGTAGGTGATGGGGAGGAAGGCAGCAAATCACACTGCCACGTGTGTACCTATGCAACAATTTTGCATGTTCTTCACATGTACCCCAAAACCTAAAATGCAATTAAATAAATAAATGGGGGAAAAAAGAATGATATTAATTAATAAGGTTAAAACTGTGTCTTAACCCCTATAGGAGCCTGCTGGGAATATGCTAAGCAAAACTAGGCCACACAGACAGAGCCATTCTGACCATGTCCCTCCCTACACCAGCTATCATACAGATATGCACCACTGGTATGAGGAGTCCCTTCCACTGAAGACTGGCTGATTCAATAATAAGCTGATTTATTCATTCAAACAACAAATATTTACTGAGCACCTTCTAGGTATTTAGGTATACAACAGAATAAAAAAGACAAAATCCCTTCCCTTACTTACATTTTAGTGAAGAAGGAGGGTTAGCCAGACATCAAACAGGAAATATAATTAAGGATATATTTTATGCATGGCAGTGCTGGGATTCACTCAGGGTGGCTCAAAAAATATTATGGGAAATATTAGGGAAGTATAAAATATAGTCTTAAACCTTTGGAAAGATGAAAAGTTTTAATAAGCCAGGCTGAAAACAGCCAGTTCTTACATTTGAGCTTTAAGTCATAAGGTGAAGATTAAGATAATAAAAGCTTCCCTGGTTAAGTCTGTTTACCCCCACATTCCTTTTTCTCTACTCTGTTTACTCATGTAAACTTCACCCTAGCTGGTCCTGTAAGGGGGAAGTTGAAAAAGACTTCTTAATGCTGTTTATTCTGGACCTCAGAACCAAGTTTTTATCATTCTTAAAACCACTCGTTTAACCATGTTAATTATCCACAAGCATGTTAACTTAAAATCTCTGTTACTACTTCTAGACTGAATAAATGCAAGAATGAACAAGGGGTCAATTAGTGGCAATCACTCCCTAAAAGTTGATGATGACCTAGCCCAACTCTTACACTGTATTCTGTATGTAGGGCATATTTTATTCATCTGATACTTATACTAAATAAATGTTTGTTTAATAAGTGAAACTAAATGTTAATTGTAAATATAATGAAGTCATGATGAGAGGGGAACAAAAGGCCCATCTTTATCAAATAATCTCTTCTTAGGGAAGACACTGAATTTGTGTCTGCAGATTATCATCTTACCTTTTAATAACAAATTTAATTTGATTATCCACTTGAATGATGTTTTCCAGCCTTGGGATTCCCTATCATGAGGGACTTCTGAAAGGAATGTTTTCCAGTAGTTCTTCCACACACAGATCATTCACATGTCCTTCAAATTTTTGGTTTTAAAAAAGATCTTCAAAGATCTTCAAAGATTAAACTTTGTTTTTGAATATCCTTAAAAAGAAGAGAAAGAAAGAACATCATTATATTTTTGTCTAATTTATTGTCTAATAAAGAACATAACCTAAGCTGGTGTGCAGTGGCATGATTTCTGTTCCTTGCAATCTACACCTCTTGGTTTCAAGCAATTCTCCTGCCTCAGTCTCACGAGTAGCTGAGATTACAGGTGCCTGCCAGCATGCTTGTCTAATTTTTGTATATA